CTGACACCAATGCAGGCTTGTGTCCCGGATGTGCAGCTAAAGCTACACACTGTGACACTAGTGCTCAGAGACAGAGAAAGGTTTATTTGATTTCACCAAAGTGAGAAGACGAGAGAACAAAATCTCCCCAGCGCATGTTCTTAAGAACTGGGGCCGGAGGCTTCATGGCTCGGGGAGCAATGGGGAGGGGTCTGTGTTGTTCTGGTGTCTGATGGCACCTGAGTCACCACACTCTGGGCATCAGGAGCTATTTGCAAGTTTTTCAAGGCATTTATTCCTTCTGTAAGACAATCTCACACAGTCTCCTCACCACCCTGCAGTCACCACTTCCTGTGTGACGGGAACACAAAGCACAGCAGCACTGGCAGGCGCCGTGGGAGCGAGGGGTGCTGGGCAGGGGAGCGGCTCACCTGTGCGAGTGAGCAGGGCCTCGGCACAGCACACGTCCTCTGGTCATCAGAGTGACTGACGCCAGGCACTAAAGTCTCACGGTGCCCGGCCACACGGGGTCTTGACATCTCCTTATCTGAAGAGAGGATTTCCTGCTGTCACATCCATTGTATTTAGTAGCTGTCCTGGTGTAGTTTGGGTGTCACCTGACCGGGCCAAGGAGGGCTCAGATTCCACATCACTCTGGGAGCGTCTGCCAGGCGTTTGCGGGAGAGACGAGCATTTGAGTAGGGGACGTGGTGCTCTCTGTGCCCCCAGCAATGTGCCAGCATCACCCACCCCTGCAGGGCCTGAAGAGGACACGAGGTGGAGGAAGGAGGGCTTCACCCCTTCTTCCTGCCTCACTACTAAGGCTGGGACCTCCCATCTCCTCTTCTGCCCATGGACGGGGAGTGACCCCAGGGCTCTCCTGGTTGTGGTGGGTTCAGTCTCAGTGTCAATCCAGCCTGGCTTTCCTGGACGACCCTTGAGTCCCATGACCCAATCTGCACAGTTAATCCCCATATGTATGCACGTGTCTCCCAACAGTTCTGCTTCTCTGGAGAGCCCCAGCTAGTGCAGTGTGTGACCTGCAGCCACGGGCTTCCAGTGAAGGAGGCGCATCCCCTGACACCCCAGAGCCTCACCTAGACGTGCACCTGCTGTGCCTGTGCCTGTGGACACACCTGGATGCAGTGTCCCCACCCAGCCACCGTCCCTCGTCCCTCAGCCCAGCATTTTCTGGGGCTTCAGTTCTGAATGTCTGTGGGAAGTGTCTCTGGCTTCAGACTGGTTCCCCTGCCCACCCCCTGCTGCTGTGCCCCCTCAAGGTGATACAGGACGTGTCCCTGCCATCATCTGGGGGCCTACCAGGGTTCCTCATTGCCTGTAGCTTGGTCGTGTGATATCTTGGCCAGTGGAAGGTAGTGAGCACGCCGTCTCTGAGCACACCTGAGCAGGAGTTCACAGAGGGACTTGCGTGGCTGGTGTCAGCTCCTTGGGCTCCCGTGCACTTTGCCAGGAGGAGATGTCCCTTGTCGGGGCCACTCCTTTCACCTGGGAGCAGACTGTAACCCAGGAGGTGGGGACCTGACCTTCCCCCTCTGCCTGAAGCCAAACGCTGCTGAGCCCAGAGGCCTCTCCACTGCCCCCGCCCTCATGCTCCGTGAGTGAGAAAGAAATCTCTCTCCAGAGTCTTCGAGATGCTGGGTTTGTTTGTTTCCAGAGCAAAATCTGACTCAGTAATCAGGGTGATGATCAGGGGACATTGAGCTGGCTTCAAAGCAGCCCTTGCCCGGGTCAGGGAGGACTGTCCGGCATGTGGTTTGTGACTCAGGTGGCACTATTTCTCCTGTTTCTGGGTGTGAGGGGTCAAGTGATTACATGTGTCATAGTCCTGTCGGGTGTTTTTTGTTTTTGTTGTTCAAAGTTCAGTTAGAAAATGATTGGCTGGGAGTAGAGGAAAATGAAACTGAAAGTGAAATTCCCAGTCTTTAAGGGAAAGTCCTGCAGGTAGGGGACAGAACACCTGACAAAAGGCTGTGGCTTCAGGATACCTGTGCTAGTAAGCACTTCCTGATATTTCAGGGAGAATCCACAGGGGGTCAACCCCCCATGGGTAGGAATTATTATGGTTTCCCACTCTGGGGATGTGTGAGAGCCAGCTTCTAATAGGAAAGTGGTATGAAAATTCTGTTCTTATGCAAAATCTGTTTCCCTAAGATATTAGGAGTTGGTAGCAGCGGGGCTATGCCCTTGCTGAGTCCAGAGGGCTGTCCTGGGTCTCCTGTGGAGGAGGGGAGGCTCTGGGAGAGACGTGGGCATCCCAGGAAGGGGCCACTGAGCCAGGCTGGGGCCATCAAGGCAGCCCCTCAGCCATGGGGTGGGAAGGAGGAGGAGTGGGTGTGGGAGGTGCTGGGCAGAGAGACCCAGATGTGAGGGCGGCAGGGGTCAGGGGAGGAAAGGAGAGGGAGGCCGGTCAGGAAGGGCCTGCAGCTGCACGCAGGTGTGTCCTGCACACTGAGTCCAGAGGAAGGTCATGGCCAGAGGTGCCCATGGGAGGCCTCTGTGGTCCTGGGCTGGATGTGGAGTGGCAGGGACAGGAGGTGGAGCCACTCAGGGAGCCACCAAGTAGGTCACTGAGGCAGGGACATGGCTGCCTGAACAAGTCAATGCCAGGAAATGGACCAGGAAAGGACCAGGAGGAACTCTGGGCGTCTGTGCTGCTTGGTTATGTCCCCTGGATGGACATTGTCAGGAGGAGGGCAAAGGTCAGCTGAGGCTGGTCAATGGCTGCCCAAAGCAGGGTGGGCTGCTGGCCACACGGAGGAGCCCCCTGGAGAGGGGGTGGGTGTCAGGCACAGCAGGTGTATTCAGGAGCCGAGCAGCTGAGGACGTGGAGACTCGGGTCCCAAAGGCCATCTCAGCTCCTGAGGCGACGGAGGGACTTGACAGGGAAGCAGCTGTGACAAAGGACGTGCAGGGGCCACTGTGTGCGGGTCAGCCTGTCATCCCCAGGGCCCCTGGAAAGTGTGTTCTCCGTGGGCTGGCGGGCAGAGGGGACCGCAGCGGATGGCAGAGGAACCGCCGGGACCTGCCCTCTGCAGATAGTGGTGCTGCCTTTGGGGTCAGAGTCAGTTGCTCAAGGCCAGTTCCCGGGAATTCTTAGGGAAGCGCACAGTTAGGCTCAGGGGAGAGTTACTGGTTGGCTCTAAGAGGGGGTGACTGTTGCTGGACACTGGGCCAGGCAGCTGGGATGCGGGTGGAGGGGTGTGTGTCCTCTGAGGACAGGCACAAGCAGGGAAACCGAGAAACCCCCCAGTAGGAGCTCGGAGTCCGGGGAGGGCCCTGGAGACGTGGGCAGGAAGGGAGGACGGAGGAAGAACCTGGGACTTTTCCCGGGGGAGGAACCCAGCAGCTCAGCCAGCGCCAGGCCGGGGACAGAGCCGCAGGAAGGAAACTCAGTTTGTAACCTCAGTCTGCCCAGGTGGGATCTGGAGGGGAGACATCCCCCCATGCCCACCGACACCCCACCTTCCAGCCTCAGCCAGCCCATCTGACCCTGCAGGGCGACCTTGAGTGTCTGCTTTGCACAGGATGACCCCGGAACGCAGGGGCTCCAGGGTCTGACAGCTGGAATTATTTCCCATTAAAAAGCAATGGAAGCTGCTTGAGGGACCCTTGTTTCTTGGAAGCTTCTACCTATGGAGATTTTCTTTAACAACACCATGGAAACGCACCGCATACTCAGTGCAGAAGGCCCAGCTTCTCCTCTGAGCTCCCGGGACTCACTGACTCCGACTCCTTCATCCTGCCCCCCCTTTGCCCGGGAGGCCGCTCCCACCCCACCCTCGCTAAGGCCCCTGGGGAGAAGCAAACCTCCCTCCCCTCAGGGCCCTGGGACCCTCTTTTTGCTCTTTCATGGCTCTTACCCCTCTGCTGTGAGTGACACTCAGCTGGTCTGCACCTGTCCCCTCCCAGCTTGTGCCTGTCAGGGTACTGCTCTCAGCCTCGGGTGCCAAGTGGACGTGTGACAACCACTGCTCAGTTGAGGGGGGAGAAGGAAAGGGCTAGGAGACGCCTCTCCAAAGGGACAAGTCCCTGAGCAGCTGGCTCCCCCCAAGGCCAGTTTAAAAATGATTATTGAGAAAGTTTTCTGTGTTACCTACCAGGTGCCATGCACCTTATTAATATCGATTTGAATAATACAGTCATGTTTATCATCTCACATAATTGGAACCCAAATGGCACCTGGGTCTTCCCTTGTCTCTCAGATACAAATGGATTCTCTGGAAATTCTCCTCCCAGCGGCTCTGTGAGACCCCGCACCCCTGGGTGTTCTCGGGGACCACAGCAGAGGCCTGCATTGCTCCTGGGTCCCTCCTGCTGCTCAATTAGTTCAGTGTGGGCATCATTTCACTGACTCTTTTTCCCAAGCCAAAGGGGCAGCCTCCATTCCTCCCCTCCACAAAATGTCACTGTCACAAGAAAAGAAGTCCTCTCAGTGGCTGGCTCTCTGCAGAGGGTCAGCGGGAGGGCGGAGGTTCACATCACAGCCCACAAACCACCCATCCCTGGGGCGTCACCAGCCCTGCTTGGCGAGTCTGGGTCTCAGGCAGGAGCCTCTCCCTGCAGGCTGCACCTGCCGTCAGGGCGCTCCGAACCTTCTGTCCCCTGCCACCATCTCGCTTTTCTCTCTGCAGCCTCTCTGAACCCTCAAATTCCCATTCGCAGCCTGCAGAGAACAGCTCCTTTTCCCTGTGTGACTCCAGACCCCACCTCAGGCCTCCCGCACCTGAAGCCCCCTGTCAAGGTGTTTCCCCAAACAGGATGACCCTGTCCCTCAGGGAGCGCTGGCAGGGAGTGTGAAATGGCCAGACTCTCACCCCACACGTGACCCTCATTGACCGGGTGGGATGTTGCCCCGTGAGGCTGAGAGACGACAGGGCACCCCAACCTCCCGAAGTCAGAGATGGTCCTTCCCAGGCCACACTTTGAGCTGGGACAAAGCCTCCGGGTCTGGGCTCACATCACCATCGCCCCTCAGCCCCCACAGCCCATCTGACCTCCATCCCCACCCCTTGGTCTCCTAGCTAGCTGGGATCCTGGCTGGGAGTGTGCTGATCGCGTGCGCCTTGATCTGTATGTTCTGGGACAATTTACCATATGGAACACAAAAGGAATCGGCGTCCACCCACCAAGAGGACACTGAGTATCACAGGTGAGCCCCGGAGCTCCTCAGAGGGTGCAGAGATGCCCCCAGGGGTGGAGACTGGCGGGTCCTCCAGGTTCTTGTTTCCTGCCCAGGATGGGTGAGCCCCACGGGGTCTCAGGGCCTCAGTTCCACCCCTCCCTCCCCCTTAACACCCCTCCTGTGTGTCTGTTTGTCCAGGAGAGACGAGTGGATGTCAACGAGCATGCAAGTGGCACCTCGTTTGCATAGTGACACAATGAGGTCTCGCGCTCTGTGTAACAGAAGCTAAAGATTCCAGAGGTGTCTCTCATGGGGACCAAAAGAAGGCCTAACCTTCCGGGCATCTAGGACCCTGGTTGTCCCTGCCGTGACGACCTAGGGAAATGTCCCCACCTGATCACATAATCGACTCCACGCTCCAGTGCAGCCTGCGCTCTGCACTCAGCCCGCTGGATCCCGCTGCTCCTCTAGTCAACGGAAGATGGGGATTTGAGATGGATTTGAACAGAGAGGCCTGCCTAGGGCACGTGCATCTGTGTGGGGCACCCTTGCCTGGGGCCTTGGGGGACACCCTCCCTGCGCTCCCCTGCACATGAGCTCGTGGGTTGGAGGAACAAATATCTAGCCGCTTAACCCTAACTCTTCAGTCACTGCTGCATTTAATAAACACGAGTGAGCATTTCATGTGGTCAAAGCTCTCTCTGGCAGGAGGGGGACAATGGTGAGGGTGACACAGTCCGTCCCCTCCAGGAAGTCCTGGGTCAGGCGAGAGGACGCCATGGGCAGAGGCTCCTGCACACAGGGCAGCGTGAGGGACACCCAGGAGGAGTACTCTCACTCACCCAGGAGTGAGAGTCACTCTGGCAGTGGCACGGCAGGGAAGGGGACAGAAGGGACCAGGCTGGCTGGGGAGGTGCCATCCGAGTGGGGCATTAGAGGACAGTGACGGGTTCCTCAGTGTCACGAGGCCCCACACTGTGTGCAGGAGCTTTGGGGACAGTGGGCCACCCCCTGAGACGATCAGTCCCTTCATGTGCTGCTGCCACCGCTGGGACAGAACTCGGGAATGTCCAGGGTGTCCGGATCAGACATCTCCAGGCGTGAGGCTAGTGTTGCACAGCGTTACTTGAAAAATATAAGGTCTCACTCCAGAGAGAGACGGCTGTGTCTATGACTCGTGTGTTTACAGAGGAGAGTGTAAATAAGGTTATCCACGGAGATCACCTGGCATCCACGGTCCCACTGTGACAGGTCACAGCATCACCTGTCACGTGCTGGCGCTGTCTCGCTTTCCTTAGCTGCAGAAGCACCTTTGGTTTTTATTTGATTGGGATTATTTGGTTAATAAATACACAACATGATTTTTCTATTGCAAATATTTTTCTCCTCTGACTTCCTCTCACAGGTTTCTTCCCTAAGGCTTGTAGTCACAGATCCGTCCCCTCTTGCACCTGCAACTGCTCTGACCAGGGT